CTCTGCTTCATCTGTAGTGTCTGTAACATTCTCTGCTTCAGCTGTAATGTCTGTAACAGTTTCGTGTTCAGCGTTAGTGTCTGTAACACTCTCTGCTTCAGCTGTAATGTCTGTAACAGTTTCGTGTTCAGCGTTAGTGTCTGTAACACTCTCTGCTTCAGTTATTGTGTCTGTAACATTCCCTGCTCTAGCTGTAGTGTCTGTAGCATTCTCTGTTCCAGCTGATGTGTCTGTAGCATTCCCTGTTCCAGCTGAAGTGTCTGTAGCATTCTCTGTTCGAGCTGAAGTATCTGTAGCATTCTCTGTTCTAGCTGAAGTGTCTGTAGCATTCCCTGTTCCAGCTGAAGTGTCTGTAGCATTCTCTGTTCCAGATGTAGTGCCTGTAACATTTGCTGCTACAACGGCAGTGTCTGTAACACCCCCTGCTTAAGTTATACTGTAACGGTGACATTCTCTACTCCAGCTATAGTGTCTGTAACATTCCCTGCTACAGCTGTAGTGCATGTAACATGCCCTGCTACAGCTGAAGAGTATGTAACATTTCCTGCTTCAGTATAGTGTGTGTTATATTCTCTGCTTCAGCTGCGGTGTCTATGACATTCTCTGCCTCAGCTGTAGTGTCTGTAACATTCACTGCTCCAGCTATACTGTGTCTGTTACATTCTCTGGTCCAGCTGTAGTGTATGTAACATTCTCTGGTCCAGCTGTAGTGTCTGTAACACTCTCTGCCCTAGGTATCCAGTGTCTGTAACACTCTCTGCTTCAGTTATTGTGTCTGTAACATTCCCTGCTCTAGCTGTAGTGTCTGTAACATTCTCTGCCTCAGCTGTAGTGTCTGTTACATTCTCTGGTCCAGCTGTAGTGTCTGTAACATTCTCTGCCTCAGCTGGAGTGTCTGTAACATTCTCTGCCTCAGCTGTAGTGTCTGTTACATTCTCTGGTCCAGCTGTAGTGTCTGTAACATTCTCTGGTCCAGCTGTAGTGTCTGTAACATTCTTTGGTCCAGCTGTAGTGTCTGTAACACTCTCTGCCCCAGTTATCCAGTGTCTGTAACACTCTCTGCTTCAGTTATTGTGTCTGTAACATTCCCTGCTCTAGCTGTAGTGTCTGTAACATTCTCTGCCTCAGCTGTAGTGTCTGTAACATTCTCTGCCTCAGCCGTAGTGTCTGTAACATTCTCTGCTTCATCTGTAGTGTCTGTAACATTCTCTGCTTCGGCTGTAATGTCTGTAACAGTCTCGTGTTCAGCGTTAGTGTCTGTAACACTCTCTGCTTCAGTTATTGTGTCTGTAACATTCCCTGCTCTAGCTGTAGTGTCTGTAACATTCTCTGCCTCAGCTGTAGTGTCTGTAACATTCTCTGCCTCAGCCGTAGTGTCTGTAACATTCTCTGCTTCATCTGTAGTGTCTGTAACATTCTCTGCTTCGGCTGTAATGTCTGTAACAGTCTCGTGTTCAGCGTTAGTGTCTGTAACACTCTCTGCTTCAGTTATTGTGTCTGTAACATTCCCTGCTCTAGCTGTAGTGTCTGTAACATTCTCTGCCTCAGCTGTAGTGTCTGGAACAGTCTCGTGTTCAGCGTTAGTGTCTGTAACACTCTCTGCTTCAGTTATTGTGTCTGTAACATTCTCTGCTCCAGCTGTAGTGTCTGTAACATTCTCTGCCCCAGATATTCAGTGTCTGTAACATTCCCTGCTCTAGCTGTTGTGTATGTAACATTCCCTGCTCTAGCTGTAGTGTCTGTAACATTCTCTGCTCCAGATATTCAGTGTCTGTAACAGTCTCTGCTCCAACTGTAGTGTATGTAACAATCACTGCTCCGACTGTAGTGTCTGTAGCAAACGCAGGCGTCATTTTAAACATATATTTACATTTACTCACATGTGTAAATCTGCATACCTGTGTAAATATACACGCCTGAGTATAAGTGTCATGTGAACGCGTTTACTCTTGTGTGTATAGTAACACCATGAGTAAAGTTGCACCTTGTCTGGAGCTGGTTGAAATGTAAATTTACACAAGTACACATTTTCGCTGTAAGTATATGTTCCATGTATTATTGATATGAATGAAAAATAAACACCAGAAGAACATTTCTTCACATTGTTGATTTCAATTCTTTCGAGCCTTTCATTGCATTGTTTCAATGTGAGCAAATGTTCTCACAGTGTAAAGCTGAAATAATGCGTTTCCTTCATAGTTCAATCCGTTTATTGAAGTTTGTGCTAATTATGTGTATGAAATGTAGGGTTTATGATGTGCAAAGAACTATACTGAATCGACGAACACATTGCCTCACATCCGCACTGTAACTATCAACGTGTAAATACCTTTACCTTTAACCCTATTTCACCTGGCCGGAATTCGCGTTATATTTTAATCTATGTTGTTATATGGCAGTGTATTGTAGGGTTGAACAGTGATTGTAGCTGTGTTATATTGTTTCTGGTGATATTCGCGCAATGCATTATGTTTGGACCGTGATTAGTTGTCAGGAAAGGAGTACTATTTAATGTAAGCAGTTTTAAGGAAGTTACTATACTTAGATGCTAGTCTGATATGTAATATTCCAGTGCCGCTAGACTGGTGAGGGCACAGTGTAGAAATTATCAGTAGCTAGATAGACTGTATATAAGGGGGCAAGAGTTTGCTTACGCATCTCTCAGGCATTTCATTACATCGAGACCAGTTTTCGTGAGAGGATCACTCATCACCCCTGATTCCTTGCCTAGGCCCGTCTCGGAAGCTTGACCACTGTCGCCGCCGTGAATACTCGTACCTTGCTGGGTGTGTGATGTATACCATTATAATGATTTTATTGAAAGGGCACAATAAAATGAAATGCATGGATGTTAATGACAATACACCAATGCTTTGGTACAAGAAGCATGTTTTATGTATATTAAACGTTATTTATATATCTTTTTAGATACCTTTATGACGTATTTAATGATGAGACACTGTATTTATCTAAAAATATATAATCTTTATCATACTCGTGTGAAACTACATGCTATTTATGCTGGAATCCTTTTTCAGTGCCCCAATGACTAATGCTATGCCGACTCTCATTATCAGTGCATGACGAACTGTATCCTTTGCACATGACAATGCTATGTTTGTACAGTTGCTAGCGTGACCAGGAAGTGAATTATATTTGTATACAGGCTGTGTCAACACGAACGTCGCGGATGTCTGCACAATGTTTCAGGGGGTGATATATACAACTCAAAGTTTGCTGAGGATCAAGTTTTGATGATATAAAAAAATCATCTAACAAATAAAAATTGATATATCACGGTACACAATTTGATGCTCACTATTCTCAGTTCTGCAAAAATGAAATTTAGAGTTAACCATAATACATGGTTATGGACAATATATACATTTTTAAAATCCAGATATGAGTGAGTGAGTTGGACTTCACGCTGTTTTAACAGTATTCCAGTTACATCACGGCGTGTCAGCTTAATGTGGGAGAAAAGCCCGAAGTCATGCAGATTCATGCGCATGCGTCCACTGGACAAGGCGTGTTTTCAGGTGCTCTGTCAAAATCGAATATTTAGGCAGTTTTTATCAAGGCAATACAAAACAAGAACAAGATCAGATGGTAAATTAATTACTTTTATGATATATTCAAACGAAGTTGCACACTAATCGCCACATTCATCTGGATGGAGGGTGAAATCGTAATCGACAGCCTGAAAGATAGTTCAGACGAGGTGAAGGTTGTAATGGCAGCCATTCACAATGTTCAACCACAGACAGAGAAACAGACAGAGCAACCTCCAGGTAAACCGTGCGCACATCCTAATTCCCAAGCACAAAGTAGTAGAAACAGACATGTTTCCCATGCAGAAACTAACTTGGAAAAGGCGTGCACAACTGAAAATGAGCAAGTAACAGATGACACACATTTAAAGATCGTACTCATGAACATTCATGAAACCAGCGGAGAGAGCACTGCAAACAAAGCGATGTCCGTGCTTAGGGACGGTATGAAAATGTCAAATGTGAAATTCACCAAGGTAGAGAGACGGCAGTCAGCAAATAAGAGTGAGTGAGTAAGTATGGCTTTACGCCGCTTTTAGCAATATTCCAGCAATATCACGGCGGGGGACTCCAGAAATGGGCTTCACACAATCTACCCACGTCGGGAATCGAACCCGGGTCTTCGGCGTCACAAGCGAACGCTTTAACCACCAGGCTACCCGACCGCCCCACGGCAAATAAGAAGGTTTGAGTCATGTAATACTGATTTTACAACAAAGTCCATCATATGACCTCACGCGTATTCCCGAGCAGCTCATGAGGTCTCCTGAGACTACGCAGGTGTTGAGAGATAGTATCTGTAAACTAGAGAGTGCTGGTAAAACCGCCTTTTTTATACTTACCTGTCGTCGAAACCTTGTGTCTAATCTTCTCAACCTTGTATAAATGTCTTTTATACCGTTTTAGTCTCTCATAATTCCATAAGGAATGGTGTGTGTACTATTTATATGTTCCTTGATTATTGTTGTAAATAATGCTGTATACTCAGTGAGACATAAATAAAATGTCTGTCTGTCTGTCTGTCTGTCTGTCCGTTAGTCGCCTCGTACCACAAGCATAGTTTCCTGAAAAGCTATTCTAACCCGTATATTCGCGGGTCCGGCGGCTTGTAAACAATGGTATCTTGACTAAATAATCAAGTGATGACCAGATGTTCCACTGACACTAGAGCACGTTTACTGATTTTGATGAAACTGAAAACGATATGTTTATTTTGTATTTTCGTCAGCTGCGTACAAGATGCAGAGATTCTGCTTCTTACAAGTAAAGAAAAACACATTTGAGAAAAATGTTTTTGCAACATAGAAGAGGTATGAATTCGCATGAACAACCAGGAAGTCGAGAATCTCATCATTCTACCCGAGCAACCGGATAGTCATACTTGACAGCACAATAGTTTCGATTACCTTACTGCGCGCAGTCAACCTAAACATGCAGGTGCTCATGTCCTGTCTTACGGAACGCTGCATTGTTAAACTTGCTGTGAGGCGATACACCAGGCTGATGGTATCACTCTGGACTTGGTGGCCATCTAAACTTGCAGCCTGTCACAGCGAGATAGACCTTGAACTAAACAGGTGAGAATTCTGCATGTATATGTTTGGATAGATTAGGAACGAATAAGGACACCTTCGTGGTAATAATAAATTCATTTAAATAAATTAATTTCTATGAGTGAGTGAGTGAGTTGGGTTTAACGCCGCTTTTAACAGTATTCCAGTCAATCACGGCGTGTCAGCTTAATGTGAGAGGAAAGCCCGAAGTGATGCGGGTCACAGACGTTTACCACTTCGGTGAAACCCACGAGCACGGACGTGGTGCTGACAAACCTAGAAACATAATCAGGGCGAACCGGGATTCGAACCCACAATCATAGGTTTCCGGCGTGCCCAAGGGACACAACTCTGCACAGCGAATCGCGGCGCCTTAGACGACTTGGCCACCCGTGCCCCAATTTCTATGATCTTTAGAGATATCTCCTTAAACCGTTGTACAATTCTGAAAATATCATACGCATGTGTTTATGTATCAAATATTGATGATACCAGATCTTCTTGAGGCTTTAAGAAATGATCAGGATATGATGTCGCTGAATACCTAATGCATAAACAAAATGCAAGAGTAGTGAAGATATCATCAAAAGCTTTATTTTTTAACAATTAAAAAAACCTAGCACAAAACGTCACTACAACTTCGAAGTGGTTTCCGTCATTTTCGTTGTCTCATGATGTTATTTTTTACTGAACTGTGTAATTTGATATGCTTGCAGACACCGACTGCATTAGCTACAGTCTAATGAAATATTTCTTCGTCTTTTAACTCATAAACATAATTCTATTTATTCATTCTTGATTTAGACTTGTACAATGAAGACCGTGAGGCCCATCCTCGTCATCACCAGGGAAAATGTGTGGCGTCTGGTTTGCTTTCTGACTCTCTTTGTTAGGGGACAGACAAGGAAGTGTATTACATGCCCGCGTTTACTGCTTCGTTGCATTTTAAACACATTTAAGAAACAGGACCATTTGTTGTGGGTTTTTATTTGCCCAAGAGTCATACAAACGTCAGTTTCGTACAGGGTCTTGTTAGTGAACGAAATGTGTGAGTGAGTGAGTTGGGTTTAACGCCGCTTTTAACAGTATTCCAGCTCTATTACGGCGTGTCAGCTTAATGTGGGGAGGGGGAAAGCCCGAAGCGATGCAGGTCTCTGACGTTTACCACTTCGGTGAAACCCACGAGCACGGGTATGGTGCTGACAAACATAATCGGGGCGAAACGGTTTCGAACCCACAATCATAGGTTTAGGGCGTGCCCAAGGGACGCGAATCGCGGCGCCTCAGACGAATGGCCGCCCATGCCCCTTGGTGAACGAAAGATGCCACTGCTTGTTTTGTGTTACTGTCCCGATTTTCTTACCAATGCACATGCATTCCGTTTAACTAAATTTAAGGAAGTGATGCCAAGTGTTAATCAACTCTCGGATAAGAATAAACTGTGATACATGTCAGGCAAAATATGTATTTGTATGTACGAAACCTGCAAAGAAAGTTTTGACTTTGACAAGTATGCATCTCTCTGTGATTGGCGGCAAGTTGAAATGGCCATGAACAAGTCCAGAATATGCATCTTATAACGACAAAGACCTTTTACTTCATACATACTCGTGCCCGTTTAAACTTATACTGTCATATCAATACAACATATACAGAGTCTCATTTTTAGTAGAGAATAGGTCTTCAGCAACCCATGCGTAAACAACAAACAAACAAACACTTTTAGTAATTGTTGTACATAACTGTATCGTCTCTCATAACAATAGAAAAAGTGTACGTATATATACTTATGTCTTAATACTGTATTATAATGTTCAGTGTGAGACTTAAATAAACTAATGTGTTTTTCCGTCTGTATATTATACAAAACAATTACACATATGTGAATTATTAACAAAGAACATTATATTTGTATTTTTTTCTAAAACAATATTGATCATTTATGTGAATAAAAAAATAATATGGTTTACATGAATTACTAATTTCAACAAGTAATTTTTCACAGTTCCTTGTCTGTAGTTACTGCTGTCTTAAATAGGTAAGAGAGTTGAAATGTCCCTTGCATGGTGCCATCTCATCTCAAAATGTTTCTTTGTTTATTTGTTGTTTAACGCCGCACTCATATTCCAGCTATGTGACGGCGGTCTGTAAATAATCGAGTCTGGACCAGACAATACAGTGAGTGACATCATTAGCAGCAATCCACGCAATTGGGATACGATGATATGCATCAACCAAGTCAGCGAGCCTGACCACCCGATCCCGTTAGTCGCCTCTTACGACAAGCATATTCGCCTTTTACGGAAAGCATGGGTTGTTGAAGACCTATTCTGCCCGGAATCTTCACGGATAACGTCAGTAATGAATAAATGTATCTCACATTAACAATATCAAACTTCTCTTCCAGGTCATCATGTTGACGGTTGTGTTGATAATCCTGCTGACGCTGAGTTATTGCCATGCAAAGAACCATGCATGCGGCCTGCATAATGACCAACAATATGGTTTATTTGCTGATTGCAAAGGGAGACAATTGCAACACATTCCATATGATCTGCCTTGTAATATAACCGCACTTGACATAAGTGAAAATATACTAACCAGTCTGAGCAATGGCATATTTCAAAAGTTCCCGAATTTGACTTATTTAAATCTTAATTCAAACTCACTCTCACAAATCGAGTCTGGTGTGTTTAGAGGCTTGTTTAATTTGACAGTGTTGTTACTTGCCCGAAATAAACTCGATGACTCCTTCCCTGATGACATTTTTCATGACCTTAAGAACTTGCATACATTAAATCTTGAGAAAAATGGTATGACGTCATATCCGGATCGGGTGTTTCCTCCTCTCATCAACCTTCACAGTCTATATTTAGACTCAATTCCAGAACCCGTGTTAGGTTCCGGATTCTCTAAACTCGCCAATTTAAAAGTTCTTCAAATTGACTCACGTTTTGCCTATGGAGGAGATTGTTCAATAGAAAAACTTAAAAATACAACATTCCAGAGTTTAAATGAAACCAGGCTTGAAGTTTTGATCATGAATCATTGTAATGTAAAGTACTGTGAAACTGGTGTTTTGAAGCACCTAATGTTTTTGAAACATTTGGAACTATGTAATAATGGAATAGGAATTCAGAAGAGTTTACACCTCCTCTATCCCTTTGTGGGCAGGAACATGAGTAGAATTTGGTTTGATGGGTCCTTTACCTTTCCAACCCAACATAAAGGAGACATTGATGACCATGTTATTACCTCAGAGAGCACAAAGTATTTAACACAGATATGTGTATCAGAGTTATCATTGAGACAAAATGGCATATACCTGATTGAAACTGGTTCTGTAAATAAAGATCCTTTCAGGGGATGCATTGAAGTGCTTGATGTGTCTAAAAACATCATAGTTGGTGATGTTGGCTTTTTCGTAATTTTGGCGGCATTTTCACGTTTAAAGTATTTTGATATCAGCTACCAGCGACAGGTATATGACGTACCAAGTAGAGAACTGTTAGCGTCTCCAGCAGCAGTAGCTTTACCACAAAATCTGGTATATTTTGATGCAACGGGGGTACTTATGGGTGCTGCAAATACTGTATTTGATATAACCTTTTACAATACGGATAACCTGAAGACCTTTCTTTGTGGTTATAACCATGTAGAGATCAAACGTGTTCATGGTTTGGAACATGTAGATCATGTTGACGTATTAGGGAATGACTTTGGTGCTATAAGCTATGATTTTTTCCAATCCTTCTCAAATGTCAGAAAGCTTTCTATGAAAAATTGCAATTTACAAAATGCGAAAGATACATTAACAAACCCTGATATTTTTAGAGACCTGAAAGAAATCGAGCATTTGGATCTGTCATCAAACGCTCTCAGAATCTTTCCAGTTATTCCAAATCCAGGAAAACTAATTGAACTGAATCTCTCTCACAATGTTTTTGATACTATCCCCCTTGAATATGGCAGTTACACCAGCCTTGCTCTTCTGGATATGTCTTTCAACATAATAGGAGAACTAAGTAAGGATACTAGATCGAGTCTTGAAGTGGCTGCTGAAAGGAATAGCAAGATGAAGATCAAGGTTCAAGGAAATATATTTTCTTGTGGTTGTGAAAATTTGGATTTCATCCTGTGGTTGATGGTCACAACAGTAATATACGAGTCTGACAGAAACTTCCCTTGCATACAGGACAACGGTACAACTACAGGAACTGTTGATGTGGCTAGGAATTATCAAAGTATACATCGCTACTGTACAGGAAAATTAAGCCTAAGTCTCACGGTCACGTTCATGACTGTCTTTGTGACATCTATTGTCATGACATATGTTGTCTCCAAGAATCCCACAAGGTACCGCAACATTGTCATGAAAATGATGGGGTTTGGCGTTCAATACCTAACACCGAAAGAGTTTGAATACACCTTCTATGTCGGATATTGTGAGGCTGACATTCCTTTTGTCTATCAAAAACTGCGACCAGCGTTGGAACTGTGTAATTCCTCTGCACGCCTCTTTCTAAAGGATCGGGAGGTTCTTCCAGGTGTTGTTATCGCAGACGGTATCATTTGCGGTTTCACTAACAGTTGGAAGTCTGTCCTGGTGATTTCAGATGACTTTCTTGAAGATCGTTCTCAGTGGTCACAATTTACTATTGATGCAGCCCTGTACTCGATGACGGACCTGATTCCTAACCGAATTATTGTGCTACTTGTGGGCGCCGTGCAGATGGAGGATCTCCCCGAGAGTCTGCTCAATGTGGTGGAAGAGGAGTGTATCCTACGCGTTGATGATTATCAGGATGGGGATGAGACTCTGTGGAAGGAGCTGAGAAAAACAGCCGGAATTTAAAAGGATGACAGTCTTAAGTAAGACATGATGATTACAAAAACATGCGTATGCGTACCAGATGCATTCAGGTGATAAGATGTACACTCATGTTCATTAGGCTCCAAAATATGTCACTCTGTTATTACTGTTGCCTTAAGAACGAATGCACATTTGGACTCTTGGGGAGACAATATTAAGTGTATGGCGGATTTCAGTTATTCATTCTGTACAACGTTGTTTAATTCTCTCGATATTTTCTTCGGCTATTGGAAATATATGTCCATCATATCAGAATCTGGAACACACACTGAATAATTTATATTTGTGTTAAGAAGACAAGTTCATGTAGTGTTTTACATTTCGTGAGAGTAACTATTGAAATTTTATTTTCCTAAAGTCAGGAAAAAATGTTCTTGATATCATTTGCTACTGTGTACATCATGATCGCATGATCATGTGTAATGAAAGTGTATGTTTTGTGGTGGAACAGGTCACTCACTCACTCTGTCTCACACTTGCAATTAGAACACACCAGTGTAAAAAGATGTAATGCTATTGTTTTTCTTGAGGATATTTATGTATGCATATCGATGTGCAATATGTACATTGAACAGTGTTGAACTATATTTAAAGAAGACAGTTAGTGCTGACAAGTTGTTTAGTCAACCTAGATGCATCCGTTGATGATGTGCATTAATTTGTGTCATGTTAACATAAAAAAAACAGGGTGGGTGAAGAAAGGAAGTTCCAACAATGACTAATATATACTATGTCATATACTTTGTGGATAATCAAGAAGTATAATGGAAGTTAGAACTCTTTAAGATTTTGTCAGAATTTGGTGTTCGCGAAACGGTGAACGTATTCTGGACAAACACAATGACATCGAACATTTTAAAAACTTTCTATGCTTGACTTTTGCGCGACTCCCTGGTATCACTATTTGAACGTGATTCATTAACACATCCTCATGACATGGTCGGAATCATTCAATGGACCACGCTGTCAGCAGATATTTTTCTATGATTACGGAAAAAGTTCTGTCGCATGAACATATAACCTATTGCTGTCCCCATCCACTTCTTCTTTGGAAGCGACTATTAAATATAATATAATATCCTGGGCAGGGATGCCCTTTAATAACGGTATGGAATAACAGTGCAATTTATCTAAACTTATAAAGAATAAACATTAGACTTTGAGTGTACTGTCCAGATTTTGTAATACCAATTGCATTGAATATTTTGTCCAGAGGGATAGTTTGTTGTGTTGCCTTATGAAATTCTCCTCATTACCATCATCATTACCAGTCCCTCGTTTAGTTCGAATAGGATTTTTGGTTTTCATCGTGAAGATCCGGGTAAGAATAGATCTTCAGCAAACCATGCCTGTCGTAAAAGACGAATATGCTTGTCGTAAGAGGCGACTAACGGGATCGTGTGGTCTTGCTCGCTGACTTGTTGCATTTCATTGTAACCCAATTGCGTGTATCGATGCTTATGATATCAATCAGTCCAGACTTCATTATTTACAGACCGCCGTAATATAGGTAGATTATTGCTGAGTGCGGCAAACAAAAATCAAAAACAAAAAAACAACAACAAACAAACAAAAAGTAGAAACTTGTGTTTGTGTTCTTCAGACCTTGTGTCACTTCTAATGGCATAGCCGCCTCCGTGGTCTTGTGATAGAGCGTCCGCCCGGAGAGCGGAAGGTCGGGGTTCGATCCCCGGCCGCGTCATACCAAAAGACGTTAAAAGATGGTACTTGTTGTTACCCTGTCTGGCGCTCGGCATTAAGGGGCTAAAACAAGGACTGGTCGGCTCGGAGTCAGTATACTGTGTCTGATTGGGGTATTCATGTTAAACTGCGGCATGGTATCTCAGTGAGCTAGCACTAGCCGGCATCAGTCCGGACTAGTACAAGCAGCCACACACACACACACACACGTGCATGCACGTCGCTACATAAGTGCAATAATCTTAGAGGCGACGTTAAATCCAATTTCACCTTACCTCACATCTAACAGCATATCTAATGAGAAATGTCAGGGATGGATGTACACCATCCAGCGTATGGATGACTGCTTTGAAGGATGTCATCCCAATATGACGTAACACTAAAAGAGTACTTTATCGCAGGATAGGTACAGTCGGCGCATTTGATCTTTTAGCAACTTATAAGACTCTGGACATAGTTCTGTAATGGATATTATATGTGATTGTGTCCACTACATACGGGTTTGTATTTCTCTTAAAGAAGTATTTGATTAATTATGTGATGATATATTTGTACAGTTTCATGTTCTGCTGTAAATGCAATTAACATACATTAGTTTCATTCACCAAAATGTAGTTTTGGAAATACAATCTGAAACACATTTAAGTTGTTGCCATTCATTGTTTTTGTCAACAATTGACTTGTCTTTGCATGCGGCAGGATACACCCACCTTGTCGCGAACACCTGGTATCATCCCTATTTGACGGTGATGGGATTCATAAACACATACTCATGATATAGTAGGAATTGGACAAACGACTCTATACAAACGAATTCTATTGAATATGGAAAATGTTTTGTGGCTTTCATTTCACATATTGTTTTGTCAGTAATCCTGGTCCATAAAAGAAACTCTAAAGAACGAGAACGTAACAGAAACAAAATCTACAAGTTTATACCATATGAAGTGAGTATGCCCCTTCTAATTCAAGGTGAAACCTGCATTCGTTTCCGTTCAAATGGCATAAATTGGGGTCTGATAAAAAACTCTTTTACCAAGTTAATTGACCTACCCGAGTTCAACAAGTTCTTCGTTCTTAACTTTGAGGGTGACTTTGACCAGTCACAGGACCGATCAATGTCTAAACAAATTCCTGAGGGTCAACAGAAGATGTTCGAGCACCGCATAGTTTAAAAGTCATATTGCGTCGGAGTTGCTAAAAATTCTGTCAATTCTTTAACGGATAACAAGGATTAGGCAAATTGGCAGTATAAAAGTCGTTTAAATATCCCTTTGTCTTACTGCTACAAAATGCTTCATGCATGCCCTTGTAGTCGCTGATGGATACTTTCATACACAGAACCAATGCCACACAAGGAAATGGTTACAAAGTCTAGTTCTTCACACTTCGCGCGGGTCCTTGCCGACGATTAAACTTAGTGGACTGGGGAGGCGAAGGAGGTTTGAAAGGATTTATTAACTGTGAAAAGATATAAATGACATCAGTATGAATTAATGTTTAATCGAAGGAGCAAGAACGTCTCCCATCAGCTATTGCTCAACAAAAAGTCTCAGAGAATACAAACATTTAGCATTTTACACTCTTATTGTACTATACTGAACCGCTAAAGAAACGTCACCCCAAGTAACATTACATGAAAAGTTGGCATTTAAATATCTGGGTAATTTTTGTCAAAGTTTCTAAAATTCAAATTTACCTTGTCCGGAAAAATGAAATTTGATGATAAAAACCCCCAAAGCAGATGACAATAAAATCGATCGCCCAAACGCATCACGGCAACGGCCATGGTAATACAAATGCACGTCCGTGCAAATTGAAATGCACATTCGTTTCCCCATTTCATGCCCTATAAAAAATCCACCCAGTTCGGATAACATTCATTCGTTGTTGCATGGCTACCACATGCCAAGATTGACAAGAAATCAGCGACACCAAGCCCTTGGACGATTGCAAGCTGGACAAACAGCCCGGCAAGTAGCCAATGCATTTCAAGTCCACCTAAGGACCATATACAGGCTCCAGCAAGGTACCAGACCACCAACACTACAGATGACCGACCACGTAGTGGAAGACCAAGGGTCAGCACCCGACGTCAGGATCGTCAGATTTTGCGACAGCATCTTCAACATCGCTTTGTTATGCTGGGTTAACGTCACATTGAACAGGGGCCTGAAGTTAGCACCGGGTTCGTTTTTCGTTATTCGTTTTTCGAATAACGAAAAACAAGCCAGCACCGGGTTCGTTACTCAAAGGCTGTATATTAAACTACAGTAATGTGGACAAATTCACTGAAACTCATTTAATATATGACAGCAGGTTCGTCTTACATCATCATCCAAAAGCAGTTATTCAGTACTTTTGAATAACGAAAAACAAGCCAGCACCGGGTTCGTTATTCAAAGGCTGTATATTAAACAACTACAGTAATGTGATCAGATACCGGGTTCGTTATTCAGTTTATGTCCAACAATTCTATGGTCTATGTCCCAACGACTGTTAAGCTATTCAGTACTTTTGAATAAGGAAAACTAACCAGCGCCGGGTTCGTTATTCAGTTCATGTCCAAGAAAATATATAAATAAATGGAATAAAGAATCTGTTCGTAGTTTTCGTAGATTTTAAAAAAGCTTTTGATTCCGTAGATGCAAAATATTTATTATATCTCTTGGAACACATACACATGTAGGTTATGGGCCGGAAGAGCGAAACCTAGCCATAATCAACTCTAATATCTCTTCGCTTTCGTGAAGCTACAGTAAGACTGGTCACGCTACAGTAAACACGGGATATTGCTGTACCGGGACTCTCGAATTACAAGAAAAACACAGAAATGCGTATACCGTATTTACAGTAGTACTTTATTAGATGCTGAAGCATAGTATAGTTGCACAAAAGTACTTTACATTTAACAAATTTAATAACTCTAATACTTTAATATTTCATAGATGAACATTATAATTTCTACAAAAACAACAATAACTTATATGTTAAAATATGGTAAATACATAAATACATTCTAATAATAAATTTGTCATTCACTCCAAGTGGATCAGGTCACCAACGTGATCTGTGTACTCAATGTCGCCGATGACGTTGTTGACGAGATTGTCTTTCAGAGCCTGAAGACGGTTGTCAATCAGCCGGTACCTTCTCTTTCTGGGTGATGCTGACCAGCGGGCTCCAATTCGTTGAATGGCGACTTCTACGTTGGATTGTTCTCTTTGAAATAGCGTAACAACTTCATAAATGTTCGGATGGTTCTTCCTGGCAAGTTTGTTGAGTTTGTGATTCCACCCCTCGACGTTATTGTTAGTGCGATGCCCTGGGTTACCAAAATGGTTCCAGATCTCAGGTCCGAATTGGCATCCTTCCACCCACGTTGTCGTGACGTAGTCCATGAAGGCTGCGACCTTGGGACCCGCGGGACTGTCAGCGATGGCTTGGAGCCAGACGTCGTCGACCTTGTCCAAAGTCTTTTGAGTCTATGTCTTTAAGATTATTATCATCATGATCATGTGCATTATTTCTAACCTGCAAAGCCGCTTGAAGAATGCCGTTTTCAGTGATCACCGACGCTCTGCAGGCAGCAACAACGCAGTTCCAATACTTCTTCTCACGGACCGTTTTCTTACAACGAAACTTGAATCCCTCATAAAACAAGTGCTGACCACCTCGCACGGTATCAACCATGGTCACTCGAACTTGTGCATTAGCCATTTTGGACATAGATAAATAAGTTGCAATCCGGTGTTTTTATAGCCATTACTCATTTCTCGCTTTCGTGGAACAAATACCCCAACTTGGGTTTTCGCTTTACTGATACTAGGGAAAATTGGATTTTCGCTAACCCGGCACGACACCGTAGGTCTAAAAGGAAATATGTTTAATGCTATTAAATCTGTGGATGAAAAGGTTAGACATACCGTAAAGTCCAATTGAAAATGTTCAGATATATTTGAATCTCACATAGGTTTAAAACAAGGGTATTATTTTCTCTGTATATAAACGAACTCGTTCATACTTTAGACAATGAAAACATTAGAGGTGTACAACTTTTTCTTGAATATATAGAATTATCGATACTTTTATTTGCCGATGATATTGTATTGTTTTTATATACGATTTCAGGTTTACAAAACCAACTAAATACTCTCAATAATTATTGTAACAAATGGAAATTGACAGTTTATTTAGACAAAACAAAAATAGTGGTATGTAGAATATATGGAATTTTGAAAACAAACACGAACGATGGACTCTTAATAACCAAAATGTCGAAATAGTAAAACACTATAAATATTTGGGTGTTATGTTTTACTCAAATATGAATATGATAAGCTTATTTTATTATACGGTGCCGATATTTGGGGCACCAAAACATATGATCCACTTGAAAAAATTCAGAATTATGCATGTAAAAGATTTCTTGGTTTACCGTCACAAACTCCAAATGCTCTGGCTGTGGGAGAATGTGGTAGATATCCCTTATATGTTGATTCATTTATGCAATGCATAAAATATTCGCTTAGATGAATACACATGTCAGATGATAGAATACCAAAAAAGTCGTATAATATGTTCAAACACTTAGATGAATGTGATAGGAGAAATTGGGTAACAAATATTAGAGAATCTTTATGTTTGATGGGTCTTGGAGAAGTTTGGTTCTATCAAGGAGTTAGTAATATTGATTAAGTATGATTAAACATAGATTAAAATATA